TGATATCGGATGTGTCCACCGCACATGCTGATTGTTCTGATGTTAGTTCTGATAAGTATGAGTCGTCCATTGCTAGTCATTTTGTTTGAGCATCCTGATTGTCGTGCTGTGTATTCAGATGATTATTGTTCGATTGTGTCACGTGTACGCAGTGCTAGATTGCTGAATTTTTTGGAAGCTGTATACATCCACACAAAGAAACCCAACCTTTTCAAGCAGAAACAAATCAAATTCACACTTAGGCTGTTAGGTAGGTCGTCAAAACCTCGTTAGTTACATGTATGTCCAGTGGTTGTCTCTTGTTGTCGCACTACATGTCACGCTTATTGAGTTTTCTCGCATTTGCACCTTTGTGTCATTATTGCATTTTTCGCTGTTTACTTTAGCTACTTTCTTTTTTTGCGCTGTTTTACCACCTTCTTATTGTATTTAATCCACTGTTCCTGTTTCTTTTCCCTTGCCTGTATTTCACCTGACGAGAAGGCTTGAAAGTATACTTGTGAAGACAAAAACTTTCAAGATGTTTGTAATGAGCCTGAAGTGTGTCCTTTTATGAGTAATAAACTACTATCACTATCAGTCATGAAAAAGGGCATTGGCTATGAATGCAGGGCGAGTTTACAAACGTGTAAAATGTTTGCTAATCACCTCGTAATATTACGTAAACCTTGTTTTTGATAACCGCTATCAATAAAACAAGCTGAATCGACATTTGTGTACTCTTTATTCATGCAATGTAAAACAGTGGAGACAATGTGCAATAAAACGATGCAAATATGAAGAAATACTGTAGAAAAAATAAGGATTCAAAAAAGTTTCGTATAACACTCATCAGGAATTGTCGTTGACCTAAAGAACATTGAAACAAAATTGAATTATTATAGAAAATCTAAGTTCCGGAAATAGCATTAAGAACAACAGCAGTGAAATTTACTAGTGTGAGTTTTAACAATGAAAGCGAGAGCAATAACGAATGCATGTGCTAACATAAACTTGCAAATGAAAAAATGAACAAACAAGAGAAAGAAAGAAGGAAGGACAAAGTGATAACATCTAACATCCGTACATTTCACCGAGAACATTAACGACGAAACTTGTCCGCACCAAACACGACACGTCACTTGAACAATTTCAACCCAATTTTACTATCTTTCTGTACACACAAATACGTGTTGTACAGTCGCTGATGGATGGCTTCCAAAACCTTCAACTGTGGTTCATAACCATGACGACCACGGCACAATACAGTTGACAAACATGTAACAAGCCGGAGGACACCGTGTGCGTAACTAGTGACCTTACTACAACCATCCACGGTTGAGAGAGCCCCAGTCTGTTGAGACCATCTTAACCGTATGGGCCCCCCGTTCTGACCCTCTTTATTCAAGTTGAGTTTTATAGACTTCTCCTAACGTCAGTTCTGTATTATGTCATCGCTCCTGGATGTCTTCTTGATAGTGAACAAATAGCAGCTATTTTAACCTGTCCAAACAAGATAAGTTTCAAGTAGTCCCTATTCCATTGTAAGGTAGATTCACTGATGAATTTAACAAGAAAAATATTCTGAACAAATCCTCTCTTTCCCTTTCCTTGCAATCATCGTATAACATTTTACACTTACATGTCGACAAATAGGAAATGCTTACAGTACAATTAGTCCTCCTCCTTGTAGCTATATTAGTCCTCCTTGTAGCTATATTAGACCTGCTTACTCCGAAACGCTTTTTTACTTATTTAAATCTGACGAGTTTTTTTCTTAACTCTTTTTCTACCAACTTCTGCCCATGGCGTGTTTCTCTCAGCTCGTCAGCTGACAACAGTCACTGACACTACCATGACATTGTCGTGAGAAGGTGATCTCTTTCGACGAGATTGGTGAACTCCCGACCATTGCCGCGTCAGGACATCACTAACCTCGTCTACGGAGAGCTTCGGACGGTCTCCCATGGCTGCTCATAATTATAGCGGCCTTGGCCAGGAGTACAGGTCTGTGGCATTAATAAAACTTAATATCCTAGCTGACACCTTTCCCATCCACGCTGTATGGATGCTGCCGTTATGAACACTGGTCGAAGATCCCTCTTCCTCAGCGCGCAGCTTCTGCCCTACATGGGTATTGAGCACTGTTCGGTCAGTCAAGCACACCACTTGATGACGTCTTGATGTAGCAATGACGTGGTCAGGTACACGTAAATAAACATGTGTACTTTTAAATTTGTTGGTTTGACCACGTGACATGAAACAAATTTATCTATTGTGTAATTGTGTAGCATTAGTGCTAAAGCCATGAAAGTGTTCCGTGTCTACACAATCACAACGTCATGTACCTGTACAATCACCACGTCATGTACCAGTACCATCAAGAGTACATAAACCTCTTGGTACAATCAAGAGTACATACACCAGAGTGTGCAACTCGGGATGGTTCCTGTGGGAGCGTAGTTCGTGCAGTACGTCATTTCTGAAGGCATGGTTAGCCACAGGTATGGTGAAAAGTTGCGTAACCAGTCGCGGTGGTGCAGGTCACTGAGTTTGTCCTGATTTCGTTTTTTTGATACGGATAGCCGTGTGACTTTACTTGTCGGTGGATGTACGCAGCGTACACAGTAACACAAAACACCGAAATCCTGAAACTGGACGTCTAAAATCAAGCAAACTTGGCTGATTTCCGGGCTATGAAACATGAAAATTAATTATTTGAGCTGAACGCAAGTCGCGGCTTGGCTGACCTCATCAGGGTGACGTAGTGCACGAGCTGCGCTGTTTCAGATCTGATATGCACAGTTGCACACTCTGGTTTATGCACTCTTGGTACAGTGCATAACTTCAGGTTGCATGCCGGCATTATCCCTGGACCCTACCTAGAAGTAACCCCTTTTTACCTTTCGCCTTCCACGCTCATTCCCGATTCGTAGTACGTTTACTTTCGCTGTCTGTATATAAAAGCTGCTGGGTTATTGGAGCCAGTTCACTTCAATCGTGCTTTCCTTCCTTGCTTTCTTACTCAAGACTGCCTATACAGTTCTCTAACGTTACATGTCCCGTTGTAAGCCAGGTGAGCAAGCCGTCATGTAAACACAATGGTGAATCGTGGTGTTCAGGAAATTGTGTTTAGAAGCTAATGCAGGTCTTTTGTAACTTCTCCCTGGAATAATCATCTCGCTTTGTTTTCGTGTCTCCGAGTCTTTCTGCTCCTGGTTGTCTAGCATTCCTGCAACGGAGAAATTTCAATACAAAACAGCTAGTCCTTGCCCTATTCGTGTTGTGCCTCCTTAATCGCTCGACTTCCCACTACATTAGTTATCGTGAGTTGTGCAGTGACTGGGTACACTTCAATTGTCCTTCTGGCTCCTCGTAGATCTACATGTCAAGCGTATCGCTCCAAGCATTTGCGAAGTAAGCCAGACAGACCACACAAGGCAACGGACAAGGTAGCAAAGAACAAGAAGATCAAGAACCCCACTAAATCCAATACTTACCAGGTAAGCCCATCAGATATCTACTCAAACTCACAATAATGAACACCAATGCCGTTATCATTTCTGGATTCCTTGACCATAATAGTAGTACTGCACCCCACCCCTACCTTTCTTGTTCCATTCACAATCTCTTCATATTATGCGCATTGGAACCCAGGACGGACCCTGTATTTTGTACTTCAGTATTGTATTTTATTACTTTACTTGGACATTCCCAAGAGACCCTAAGGTGCCCAAGATGAATGAATGTGGTAAGTTCCTGGCGAAATGAATTGGAGATACGATTTGTGCATGACAACGTACGTCGTGTGAAACAACTTGTTTTGTAGTCAACTAGTCCATCACAATGTTATGCATGAGGAGTACTGTACGAGTTTGGCTTTCGGCTTGTACAATTTGTTCTCGCAACGCTTCCCCCCTCTTTACTTATCTTTGATATTTATGACCCACCCAAGTTGGGTGGTGTGCTGCTTTGCTGCTTCGAGATGTAGTTAGACCACTTTGTCAAATCGCCTACTGGTCAGCCGTCTTGTCATCGTCCAGTAACAATCGACATTATTTGTTCCGTTAGGACTGTAGCTTTTGCTCGGTTTCGTTGCGCTTGCCTTCTCCTCTTTGGTCTTTCCATAACCTTGAACCTTCCAAGTTGGAAGGCTGTCGGTTAGCGCTACGGAGATGTGTTGAAGCTAGGTGTCAGGACGTCGAATGTCTCAGTACTCTGTCAGTTTTGTGCCTAGTTGTTGCACTTTCTGACTGTATCTAGTTACGGTGGTGGAGAGTTACTCATAACTCGCTTCCATAATATGTCCTTTTCCTTTCTACATTATAGGGTACCTCACTTCAAACTCTCCAACTACGGTCTCTTCGCTGCATATGTTCACTTCACTTCCAAAAAAAACAAATAATATTAGATATAAATTGAATGCACCAAATTTTCGGGCATGGCCCATCTTCAGGGTGAAAAAGAAAACCATTCAACTAAAGCCAACAAAAACTGAAACGAGTATATATGCTGTGTGGTGCGGTAGTGCTGGAAATATTTGTATGTGTGAAGGGTAGCAGCAATGGTGAAGTGTGTTGGTAAAAAGGGAAGGAGCGAAAGAGACCAGTGGAGAGCTGTGTCTGTAAGTGTGAATATGTGTTAGTGCGATGTGAAGGGAAAGCACGAGAAGTGTGGTTACCAGCAGCAATGGTGAAGTGTGTTGGTAGAAAGTGAAGGAGCCAAGTGGAGAGCTGTGTCTGTAAGTGTGAATATGTGTTAGTGACATGGAGAATAGAATGCAAAGCATCAATGTAGTTGGGTCCATGGGTGTGAAGACAAAGATGACGACAACTATTTGCTAAGCACTATATAACCATATAACCATACAACCATATAACCATATAACCATATAACCATATAACCATATAACCATATAACCAGCTAGCACACATAAACATCAAATATCAAATATTATCATAATATATTCGCAACATCACAGTCTACCACAATTTACAACACCAGCATCTAACACAATAATTTCACACTGTGTCCAGCAGTCTCCAGCCACGATCCCTGTTAACACTTGGGCGTTTATCACGAATGAACATTGCTTCACGTATACGACGATTCACAAGGGACGACTGCTTGGCGAGAATTGATGCGTTGGTGATGGGTGTAGATGTGATTGCTTGTTGTGGGTGGTGTTCTGCATAGTGTTCTCCCCATGGCGTCTCCAGCGCTTGCGCTTTGGCCTCTCTGCAATGCTCCTCAAATCTCTTCCTTGCAGTTCGCTCGGTCTCGCCAACGTACTCCTCGGCGCAAAGTGCACATAACATCGAGTAGATAACATCCTGAGACAAACATTGACCACTCTCCATACCAGCATCACATGCACGACATTCAACTGGTCGCCCCCTCCCTCTTCTCTTCTTATACACTTCCTTCGGGCATTCAGGACGGGACAATGATGACGATACCAACATGTCCCTTAGTGACCGACCGGACTGGAACACCACACGCACATCCTTACTGAAAGACCTCACCGTACGACGAACATCACGTGCCAAACGATCATTGACGAAGGGCAGTTTGATGATGGATGTGTACGATTGTTGTCGTTGTCTGGTGGATGATGGTCTTGGTGTGCTTGCATGGTGCTTGGCTGCTTGAATAGCGTGTTGTGGGTAGTCGTTTTCTCGTAGTAATGTCTCGATCTTCTTCTCTCCCCGCTCCCTCCCCCTGTCGGTTGACGCGTTGCTATTTGCGCGCCGAAACTGCTCCTGGGCAACCGAACGCTTCACCCCCAATGGCAATGAAGACTCGTACGATAGATGGACACCACTATGACTGGGCTTAACGAACAACTCCCACTGCACAACACCACTCGCCACAGAGATAGACAAGTCGAGGTAGCTGACTGTGTGCGAGACATTCTGCCGGGTGTGTTCTACTGTGAAGCGTATGTCTGGGTGTCTGCTGCTCAAGTACTGCACGAACTCCATCAACTTGACAAGACCATGACACCATACTACCAGACAATCATCGATGTAGCGACGATACAAGCGAGGCTTCCACGGAAACATAGCCATCGCCTCCGACTCGAGCTTCGACATGAAAATGATTGCCATTGGGGGTGCGAGATGGTTGCCCATTGCCAGGCCTTTCCGCTGCCGGTACTGGACACCGTCAAATTCGAAGTAGTTAGACGATAACACGACTGACAGGAGCTCCCGAACATCCGACAGTGACAGGTGAAACATATCTACTTCCTTCCGATGCAACTCCAAGAACTCCATGACGACATCAATGCTCTCGACAACTGGTATGTTAGAATACAACGAGACAACATCCAGTGAGGCAATGATACAATCATCGGGAAGAACACCAACATCACTCAACACGTCAATACACTCCTTTGTACTGGTCAAATGTGCTGGAACGAACTTCAACAACTGATTAAGGATACGTTCCAGTAACAAGGAGACATTATCCATTGACGAACCGCACGTAGACACAACTGGGCGCAGCGGAAGACCTGGCTTGTGGTCTTTGGGTAGACCGTAGAATTGGCTCAGTCGTGAGTTATGTGGGAGAATGGCTTTGGCGAGTGGTTGTGGTAGCTTGTGTTGGGTGATCTCAGCGACTTTCTTGCGTGTGTGTTTGTCAAGGTCTTCTACCTTCACGTCACAGCGCTCATAACTATCCCGACACTCCAACATGACATTCGCTTTCTGTACATAACTGTCACGAGACATCACTACAAATCCCTTACTCTTGTCAGATGGCTTAACCACGATTCCTTCATTCCTCCGTAAGGTGGAGAGGGCCTCCTTCTCCCTTCTCATTAGTTGACGTCCGTTATTGGAGGTATTGATGTCGGCCTCTCTCTTGTACAGTCTCATGATGTTTCCCTTCAGTCTCCTTAATCCGTTTTCCTTCTCATCATCCATGCTTGGCGCTTGCTTGGTCGTGGTTGCAATCTTTCTCAGTCTCGTGTCATTGTCTAGATGTCGCACGGGCCTCCCCGTAACCGTCTGATGAGAAGCTGCTTGCGTCCGGTTTTTCTCCGCCTCTTCTTTCCACCTCAAACCGAACGCCAGTCTCTCCACACCCACCTCCGCCTGCTGTACTGTTGACTTCGTCACGCGTCTGCCAGGAATAAACTTTGGTCCGAGCTCCATCACCTTTCTCGCTACCTCTGGCACCTCGCTCTCCACCGCTTCCTCAATCACAACTCTATTTCTCCGATTCTGGGCATCCATAGCTGGGGCCTGCCCCGCCAATGCCTCCCTACTCCTCACCAAACAGTCCAACTTCCTTCTCAGTCGCCTCGTCTCGTCCTCCCGTACACACTCGCTCATTTGACTGCAATGGCCTGTCACCCATGTCGCTTTGCCTGGCAACATCCTCCTGTGGACTTCCCATCGCAGAGATGCTTGCCTGTCTTTGAGTCGTCTTATGCAGGTGAACTTGTCCTTTATGATTTGATTCAGAACTAGTTGCTGGAAACGGGTCTCTTGTTTGGCAACGGCGGCTCCAAAAAGATGCGTAGCCTTCGAACAGTTCCTAATACATCCAGGAATAACACCATTATGTCGACAGGCTGTAAGAAATTTGACAGAACACCTACTCTTAGACAACGACACACTACATTTCACCAATTCCCAGGGGAGAGTGCGATCTGGACCAACAGGATAAACTTTTCTAAGCACTCGCAGACTCCATTGCAGCCATTCACACATTATAGGGTACCTCACTTCAAACTCTCCAACTACGGTCTCTTCGCTGCATATGTTCACTTCACTTCCAAAAAAACAAATAATATTAGATATAAATTGAATGCACCAAATTTTCGGGCATGGCCCATCTTCAGGGTGAAAAAGAAAACCATTCAACTAAAGCCAACAAAAACTGAAACGAGTATATATGCTGTGTGGTGCGGTAGTGCTGGAAATATTTGTATGTGTGAAGGGTAGCAGCAATGGTGAAGTGTGTTGGTAAAAAGGGAAGGAGCGAAAGAGACCAGTGGAGAGCTGTCATCATTTTCATGTCGAAGCTCGAGTCGGAGGCGATGGCTATGTTTCCGTGGAAGCCTCGCTTGTATCGTCGCTACATCGATGATTGTCTGGTAGTATGGTGTCATGGTCTTGTCAAGTTGATGGAGTTCGTGCAGTACTTGAGCAGCAGACACCCAGACATACGCTTCACAGTAGAACACACCCGGCAGAATGTCTCGCACACAGTCAGCTACCTCGACTTGTCTATCTCTGTGGCGAGTGGTGTTGTGCAGTGGGAGTTGTTCGTTAAGCCCAGTCATAGTGGTGTCCATCTATCGTACGAGTCTTCATTGCCATTGGGGGTGAAGCGTTCGGTTGCCCAGGAGCAGTTTCGGCGCGCAAATAGCAACGCGTCAACCGACAGGGGGAGGGAGCGGGGAGAGAAGAAGATCGAGACATTACTACGAGAAAACGACTACCCACAACACGCTATTCAAGCAGCCAAGCACCATGCAAGCACACCAAGACCATCATCCACCAGACAACGACAACAATCGTACACATCCATCATCAAACTGCCCTTCGTCAATGATCGTTTGGCACGTGATGTTCGTCGTACGGTGAGGTCTTTCAGTAAGGATGTGCGTGTGGTGTTCCAGTCCGGTCGGTCACTAAGGGACATGTTGGTATCGTCATCATTGTCCCGTCCTGAATGCCCGAAGGAAGTGTATAAGAAGAGAAGAGGGAGGGGGCGACCAGTTGAATGTCGTGCATGTGATGCTGGTATGGAGAGTGGTCAATGTTTGTCTCAGGATGTTATCTACTCGATGTTATGTGCACTTTGCGCCGAGGAGTACGTTGGCGAGACCGAGCGAACTGCAAGGAAGAGATTTGAGGAGCATTGCAGAGAGGCCAAAGCGCAAGCGCTGGAGACGCCATGGGGAGAACACTATGCAGAACACCACCCACAACAAGCAATCACATCTACACCCATCACCAACGCATCAATTCTCGCCAAGCAGTCGTCCCTTGTGAATCGTCGTATACGTGAAGCAATGTTCATTCGTGATAAACGCCCAAGTGTTAACAGGGATCGTGGCTGGAGACTGCTGGACACAGTGTGAAATTATTGTGTTAGATGCTGGTGTTGTAAATTGTGGTAGACTGTGATGTTGCGAATATATTATGATAATATTTGATATTTGATGTTTATGTGTGCTAGCTGGTTATATGGTTATATGGTTATATGGTTATATGGTTATATGGTTATATGGTTGTATGGTTATATGGTTATATAGTGCTTAGCAAATAGTTGTCGTCATCTTTGTCTTCACACCCATGGACCCAACTACATTGATGCTTTGCATTCTATTCTCCATGTCACTAACACATATTCACACTTACAGACACAGCTCTCCACTTGGCTCCTTCACTTTCTACCAACACACTTCACCATTGCTGCTGGTAACCACACTTCTCGTGCTTTCCCTTCACATCGCACTAACACATATTCACACTTACAGACACAGCTCTCCACTGGTCTCTTTCGCTCCTTCCCTTTTTACCAACACACTTCACCATTGCTGCTACCCTTCACACATACAAATATTTCCAGCACTACCGCACCACACAGCATATATACTCGTTTCAGTTTTTGTTGGCTTTAGTTGAATGGTTTTCTTTTTCACCCTGAAGATGGGCCATGCCCGAAAATTTGGTGCATTCAATTTATATCTAATATTATTTGTTTTTTTTGGAAGTGAAGTGAACATATGCAGCGAAGAGACCGTAGTTGGAGAGTTTGAAGTGAGGTACCCTATAATGTGTGAATGGCTGCAATGGAGTCTGCGAGTGCTTAGAAAAGTTTTCCTTTCTACTTAAATAAATTTCTGTTTTATTTATTTATTATGGATTCCCCAAAGGCCGAGGCCTAAGTCGAGGGGGTCTCCGTTCATGGCTTACGGGGAATATATCTGCAAAATTATAACATTATAGATTGAGAAGAGGAAGGGTTATAACAAATGCGTACTGTAGAAATCAGCCATAACATTCGTTACTATGTTACAGAAACTCTGAAAGGAATTAAACCAGTGGGTTCAAAGCGTGTGTTGGCAAAGATGGTACGAACGCGAGACACAAAGCAATGACTATTTTGGGTGATTCTAATGTCAGTGGGGAGAGAATTCCAGGTGACAGCGGTAACAAAGAGGAATTGATGGTTGCAAAGTTTGCCCAGCAGCGTAGTATCACTTTCGCTCATAAAATCTAAAATATGGTGGAAACAGAGCTGTATGGAGTTGATTTTATTCCCGTAGCTATGCAGAAGACGTTACTTCAGTAACGTCTGGCGCTAGCCAGGGTCCACACAGCTTTAATTCCCGTAGCTATGCAGAAGACGTTACTTCAGTAACGTCTGGCGCTAGCCAGGGTCCACACAGCTTTGATTTGGTATTTGTTTGTTTGTGTGTTTGTTTGTTTGTTTGTGTCACGCCTGGCGCTATCCCGTATCTGACGGCAAAAAATCATAGGGATGTTATAAATTTTTCAATTCTCCTATTTTTTTTTTTAGGCATATCCTGGGATTCGAACCCGCACTATCGCCCTACATGCATTCCCCCATACACTTCGCATTCATACCCATTCACCCAAGTTGCTTCACGTTATGATCTTGCGTTTGAAAGCCGTATTTGAATATTGCGGGCAGCTGTATGTGGCCAGCGGTGTTTGATGGTACGGTACGGGAGACGGTGTCGTATTACCCTCGATCGTACCTGTCCCGTACCTATCCCTACCGTACCGTACCAGCAAAGACGGCTGGCCACAATGCATATTCAAATAGGGCTTTCAAATGCAAGATAATTATGTGAAGCAACTTGGAAGAATTAGTATGTATGCGAAGTGTATCGGGGGATGCATGCAGGGCGCGATAGTGCGGGTTCGAATCCCAGGTTATGTCTTAAAGAAAAAGGAATTTTTTAAAGACCGGGGATGCATGCAGGGCGCGATAGTGCGGGTTTGAATCCCAGGTTATGTCTTTAAAAAAAGGAATTTTTTAAAGACCGGGGGATGCATGCAGGGCGCGATAGTGCGGGTTCGAATCCCAGGTTATGTCTTTTAACAAAAAGGAATTTTTCAAAGACCGGGGGATGCATGCAGGGCGCGATAGTGCGGGTTCGAACCCCAGGTTATGTCTTAAAAAAGAATTTTTCAAAGACCGGGGGATGCATGCAGGGCGCGATAGTGCGGGTTCGAATCCCAGGTTATGTTTTTACAAAAAACGAATTTTTTAAAGAATTTATAACATCCCTATGCTTTTGTTTGTCTAGGTCATCAAGGCAAAAAAGCATAGCGTAGGGCCCTGAGCTTCCAAGCTCTCTCGTTTGGTATTTGTTTGTTTGTGTGTTTGTTTGTGTCACGCCTGGCGCTATCCGTATCTGACGGCAAAAAAGCTTAGGATGTTATAAATTTTTCAATTCTCCTATTTTTTTTCAGGAATATCCTGGGATTCGAACCCGCACTATCGCCCTACATGCATTCCCCCATACACTTCGCATTCAGACCCATTCTTCCAAGTTGCTTCACGTTATTATCTTGCGTTTGAAAGCCCTATTTGAATATTGGGGGCAGCTAGACGGTGTCGTATTACCCTCGATCATACCTGTCCCGTGCCTATCCCCTACCGTACCGTGCCATCAAAGACGGCTGGCCACAATGCATATTCAAATAGGGCTTTCAAATGCAAGATCACAATGTAAACAACTGGGAAGAATTAGTATGTATGCGAAGTGTATCGGGGGATGCATGCAGGGCGCGCGATAGTGCGGGTTCGAATCCCAGGTTATGTCTAAAAAAAAAGGATTTTTTTAAAGAATTTATAACATCCCTATGCTTTTTTTTTGTCTAGGTCATCAAGGCAAAAAAGCATAGCGTAGGGCCCTGAGCTTCCAAGCTCTCTCGTTTGCCAATATTCTTTGGAGAGCGAGTGACGCCGCTCGGTCATGGCTGTCAGCTTCGGCTGGCCCATGGGTAATGTCTTCTTCGCCAGGAAACAGGCAAGCTTGTGGAAGTATTTTGAGTAGTGGAGCAAAAGGCCAGGGCTTGTTTCGCATTGGTACGTTCAACGTCCGTGGACTTACTTCAAATTTCAAAAAAATCAACTTATTTCAGACCTCAATAAATACAGAGTTGGACTCTGCTGTCTTCAGGAGACTAAAATCTCCGAAGGCTACGATGGAAATATTGACAACTACCGTCTACTGTGTCTC